AGGAGCAAGACAACGACTATGGGGTTATTGTGTTCTCTGAGCTTGGCAGCTTTCTTGCAGACGTTTCAGGACCCAACTAAGTAACATAATTAGTGTTAGAAGGGAATAGGGTTTGCGAGGAGGAGGAGGAGGAGGAGGAGGAGGAGGAGGAGGAGGAGGACAACGACGACTATGGGGTCCTTGGTGCTCTCTGAGCTTGGCTGTTTTCTTGCAAGATGTTTTCAAGACCCAACTAGGTAATGTAATCAGTGCTCACTTTTTTTTCCTATTGATGATGTTTCCTAGTTGAGTCATGAAACGTCTCCCAGAAAACAAACCAAGCTCAGACAGCACCAAGGACGCCTCCAAATTATCATAAAACTGCAACGCATGAGATTGTTCAAACTGGTGATCAGGAAAACCACAGACCTTCTCTAACTTACTTCCTAGACGGACGGATGACCTTGAGAGGAGACAAGTTTTAACACAACTGCCCACCCTTTTCAAGGCAAAAGAAAATAAGAAAAGGAAAAAAAAAAAAACAGATTTTGAATCCAGGGGATTTTTTCATGGCAAGGAAAAAAAAAAAGCCCACCACATCTTTTTTTATTTTTGGAGCCAGGGACGTTCACAAGAACCCGAGCATCCTGCCTGCTTTCTCCACTTGTAAATTTGCCATTTGCTAAATTTAATTACGTTAATTATGAGGTGTTTTGTTCACAGCGGGGGCTTCTTGCCAAGGCTTCTCCAAAGCTGGGCTGGAGAGGTTCGTCTCGGGAGGTCTAGGAGGAGGAGAGGTTAGCCTCTGAGCTTGCTAAGAGTGCCCCGGGAGAGGGGAAATATTTGCCAGTTTTTCCGGAGCAGGATTTATTTGTTTTAAATATGGATAGGCCTCGACATATGGACACCGCCCGTAATTTATGCCACGGAGTGAGATGTTTGTTAAAGGGAATGGGTGGCCCCATTTTATGACCTTTCTAGCCGCCATTGTTAAGGAAATCACTGCAATCGTTAAGCTAGTTGTGGATGCTCCAACGCTGGACGTTTTTAAGAGGATATTGGACAATACGTTGTGTGAAATGGTATAGGACGGTGGTAGCTAACCTTTTTGGGTTCCTGTGTCAAAAATTGCACGCGCACAAATGCAATGTGTGCGCCCCCCCCGCCCCCCGCACATACAATCCCCCCACTACCCCCTTACCTGTACTGCGCTTCACAGCAGATTTTTTGGGCTGATTTGAGGCCTTTTTCGGCTTCCCAGAGGCTTGGAAAAAGCCCCTGCAAGGCTTTTCAGACCGAATAATAGGCCCATTTCATCACTTCCTGTAATACCGGAAGTGACGGAACAGGCCTATTATTCGACCTGAAAAGCCTTGCAGAGGCTTTTTCCAAGCCTCTGGGAGGCCGAAAAATCAGCTGTGAGGCATGCGCAGTGAGGTAAGTTTGCCTGCAACTCGTGTGCCAGCGCAAATGGCTCTGCGTGCCACTTGTGGCACCCATGCCATAGGTTCGCTATCACGGGTATAGGGTTTTCCTGCCTGAGCAGGGGGTTGGACTAGAAGACCTCCAAGGTCCCTTCCAATTCTTATTATTCCGTTATTCCACCCGTCTCCTATTCTATTCTATTTTATTTTCTATTTTCTCCTATATTATTCTATTTTCTATTCTATTATTTTCTTTTTCTATTCTATTTTCTATTCTATTTCATTATATTCTATTCTATTTTCAATCCTATTCTATTTTCTATTCTCTTTTCTATTCTATTATTACTTTACACTTTATATTCTATTATATTTCATTATTATTTTCTATTTTCTATTCTATTTTCTATTCTGTTCCATTCTCATTCCATTATCCTGTCCTGTCCTATGAATCTGGATTCCCCACTTGACTTGGCTTGCCAGAAGGTCACCAAAGGGGATCACAGTGCAACCATCATAACTATGAGTCAGTTGCCAAGCGCCCGAATTTTGATGAAGTCACACACTTTTTTTCAGAGCCATTGTGTATTTCTGCAGTTTATATCATAAACGAACAAATAAGCAAGTGGAGCCCAACGCTCAGCTGCTGCCCAACGACGAAGCTCAAACCGCCACGGCTGAGTTTGCACAGGGCAGGAAGCCAAAACAAACCACAGTTTGGCTAAACGTGATGTGCAAACTAAGCCAGAGAATCTTGGGAGCTGCTAGCCGGGTTTCTTTGAGGCCAGCTTTGGCTAGAAAAAAACAAGAGCTTATGGGGTGCCCCCTTATAAAGGAGAAGGAGGGAGTTAAAAAATGGAATAAATCAATAAAATTCAAGTATGGGCAGCCCTCCACTTACAACAAGTAAGCAGTGGGGTGCCACAAGGTTCCGTCTTAGGCCCAGGACTCTTCAATATCTTCATTAACGACTTAGATGAAGGAATAGAAGGGGAACTTACCAAATTTGCAGATGATACTAAGCTGGCAGGAATAGCCAACACCCAAGAAGATCAACTCAAGATCCAGATGGATCTTGACAGACTAGAACACTGGGCCATATTTAACAAAATGAAATTCAATGTAGAGAAAAGTAAAGTCCTACACGTAGGCAAGAAAAACCCAAAGGACACATCTAGACTGGGTGAAACCAGGCTCAAGAGCAGGAACTGTGAGAGGGATCTTGGAGTCTTAGTGGACAACCAGCTAAATAGGAGCCAGCAGCCAAAAAAGCCAATGCAATCCTAAATTGCACTAACAGAGGGATACAATCAAGATCAAGGGAGGTATTAATCCCACTCTATAAAGCCTTAGTAAGACCACACCTGGAGTCCTGCATCCAGTTTTGGGCACCACACTATAAAAAAGACGTTGAGGCTCTAGAAAAAGTGCAGAGTAGAGCAACCAGGATGATGGCCCTGCCAAAAAAAAGGGGGGGGGGACTTAGGACCATTTTGCACACTTAGGTTAACGTTGCATCCTCCCTGTGGTCATGTGACTTTCCCGTTGGAGGTTTGGCAACCGACTCACGGCGAAGTTTTGCCCTGTTTTATGACTTTCCTTGGCATGTTTGTTAAGTGAATCGCTGCCTTGGTTAAATTAGTCACACGGTTGTTAAGTGAATCGGACTTGGCTTGTCAAAAGTCTGTGAGTCCGTTGCCAAGTGTTTGGCGAGGCTGCAACGGTCAGAAGTATGGAAATTGATCGTAACACATGCTTTTTTTTTCCCCCAGTGCCGTTGTTAACTTTGAACGGTCGCTCAACGGACTGATGTTAAGTCAAGGACTACCTGTATTGAGTATTTTATAGGAGCCTCTGTGGTGCAGTGGTCAGAGTGCAGTACTGCAAGCTACTTTTGCTGCAACCAGCTGCCTACAATTTGGCAGTTCAAATCCCACCAGGCTCAAGGTTGACTTGTCCTTTCGTCCTTCCGAGGGTTGGTAAAACGAGGACCCAGATTGTTGGGGGCAAGAGGCTGACTCTGTAAACCACTTAAGAGAGGGCTGGAAAGCACTGGAAAGTGGTATATATGTGTAAGTGCTATTGCTATCCTCTATCTCTCTATCTATCATATCTCTATCTTCTATCATATCTCTGTTTGTCTGTCTGTCTATCTATCTATCTTATCTGCCTTATCTATCTATCTATCTATCTATCTATCTATCTATCTATCTATCTAT